GGCTGGTGGGTTTGAACCACCAGCCTTCTGGTTAGCAGTCAAATGCCTTAGGCACTATGCCACCAGAGCTCCTAAACTAACCAAAAAATTCTAATTTTTTAAAAAACTTTTTTTTTCTCAGATATTCTTAATTAACTGAAAGTCTTACTCAAACCAAATGACTAGTTTTAGGAAGCAATAAACCAAACCCATGGCCATTGAGTCAATTCTGACTTATAGCAACCATATAGAACAGATTAGAACTGCCATATAGAGTTACCAAGCTATAATCTGTAGAGAAGCAGACTTCCATATCTTTGTAACGTGGAGTGGCTGGTGGATTCAAACTGACAGCCTTTTGGTTAGCAGGTGAACACTTAACCACTGCACCACCAAGGCTCCTTAGGAAGCAGTAGGTTCATGTAACTTTTGCTTACTGATTATGCTACATTCTTTTCACTGCTGTGGTATGTTGACCTGTTATATTACATCACACTGCCAACACTTGCAGAACCAGAGACTATTCAAAACAGAAGGAAAGCCCAAGCAAGCATCTTTGTATGTTTAGTCTGTAATAACAGCCACTACTCAGCCAAGTTTGAAGATTGCAGGCACTTGGCAAAGAGCTCATTTAGTTCTGTGTCACATCTTAGAATGACCAGGCAGATCATTCTCTTCACAATGACTTTTTCTCACAACTCTCCCTGGAAGCAGAAGTTTTGTTTTAAGTATTTTGTTTTTCTTGATTAGCAAAGTAACAGTTCATTGTGCCTTCTGTGTTTCCTATTTTAGTGAGAAGAAAACATTTGCCAACAAATCTGCCACCCAAATAAGTGATAGAAGTTTAAATGAATAATTTCTTCTGCATGTCAATTTTATATACATTTAAACTATGTGCATTTCATTCTTTCAGTTGATCCTTTATATAGAGTTACAAGAACAACATTGGAAGGAAGATTTATGCTACATGATTTCAAGATTTCTTATAAAACTATAATAATCAAGACACTGTGATTTTGGATTAAGGGTAGACATTTAGATGAATGGAACAGAACAGTGAATCTAGAAATAGAAATAGACTAATTGTTTTTTGCCAAAGTTGCCAAGATAAATAAGTCCATGAAGAAAGGATAATCTCTTTAACAGTGTAGGAACAGTTTGATATCCATATATAAAAAAATAACTTTGACCCTTACCTCATAAAATACATGAAGAATAGCTTAGAAAGGATCATAGGCCTAAGTGTAAGAGCTTAAACTATAAAACTCCTAGAAGAAAACAAGAGAAAATCTTTGTGACCCTTGAATTAGGCATAGGTTTCATAGAAAAGTCATAAAAAGCAAGAATTATAAAAGACAAATTTGATAAATTGAACTGTTCCAAAATTCAAAGTTTTTGCTTTTCGGAAGACAGAGTTAAGAAAGTGAGAAGACAAGCCACACTGGGAAAAAAATCCTGGTATTTTTTAATATATATGTATATATATAATTATGAACTTGTATCCGGAGTATATAAAGAACACTTACATCTCAGTTGTAAGAAGTCAGAAAACTTGAATAAATACTTAGCAAAAGATTTGGACCACAACTTCACCAAACAAGAAATACTGATGGCCAGTAAGCATTATGCTAAGTGAAAGAACCCAGACACAAACCTTCTGTACAATTCCATGTATGGAGTCAAAGTGGCATGAGTTAAGCTGAAGAGGTTGGCAGAGAAACAAAAGGTGGAATGGTCTCATATTTGCTTGTCAAGGTCATATTGCAAGAGAAGCTATGAACTACATATTTGAGAGAGAAAAACTGTCCCTTTTGGCTGAGAGATAAGATGATCAGTGCACTCTTTTATTTCTCTCCATTCTTTTCCATTTGTCTTTATAAAAAAAAAAAATTTCTTAAACAGTAATTCTCCCCATCTATAAATAGACTCCAGCTGAATTTGTGTAACTAAGGGTGTACATATACATTGACTTGTTAAAGGAATTAAAATACATTTTAATGTTTGAGAAAGCATTTCATACTAGCACTGTAATCGCCATCTGGGAGAATTGCTGAGATTAGCCAGATGTGGCTGTGCCTTCAAGCAAATACCAGTTTCTTTGAACCAACAGGGAGAAGTACAAAATTTCCCCATACTACATTTGTTGTTGTTAGGTGCCATCAAGTCATTTTCAACTCATAGCAACTGTAGTGGTTAAGATTGTGTGTCAACTTGGTTGGGCCTGGTTGAGTGGCTGGGCAGCTGGTGGTAGTTATTCCCTATGATGAGACTGGCAGTCACCTCCCTGGTGGGACCTACCACAGGCAGCTGAGTAGCTGCTTTAGGGATGTGGTCTGCTTCCCATATATAAGAAACAGCTTTGAGAATGGTCTTTAGCTTATGGCATGCTTGAACCCTGTGTGTAGCTGAGTAGTTGTTCAGCAGCCTGCCATGCTCTGCCGACCTTGGGACTTTCAGTGGACTTGAATTAATGGCCTGCCATGTGGTTTAGTAACATTGGGACTGTGCCATTTTATTTGTCGACCTTGCTCCTGTTAGCCTCAGCAGCCAGTAGCTGCCTGCGTGAAGAGATGCCTCTAGCTTCAGTGTGCCGCAGACCAGCACAGTCACTGGGCTCGGTTCTATAACTCGAAGAAGATTATAGGTGAATAGGGAGTCGGCGAATTGGCTAACAGAAGACAAACAACTCAGAGGCTGCTTGCAACTGAGAGCGTTTATTGAGTTATAGGGCCAAGCTTTTATGGTGCTTGTTAGTTCCTTCTACAAAACCACTGACCTTTCAGATATTGATCAGTCAAGCACAGGTTTACGCAAAAACACAGAAAGTAAAGTACCTGATCAAAAACAGTAAGTTTACAAGTTCCCATTACATCACAATTCTAAGTACTACAACAATGATCATAATTATTGTTTTGCCCTTTTTGTCGTATGCCCTGAGACTTTCCATTATGTCAGGATCCTTTTCTAAACAAACTCTTTTTCTGTCCTTTGGAAATATTTACTTTTGAAATTTGCATTGTATCTTTTCACTAATGCTGTGAGCCGCTTTTTTAAACTTGCCTTTTGTTCATTAGTTAATAAACACCAAGGGTTTCTCATATTTTTGTACAGTCACTGGAGATGTTGTGGTGTTCTTTGTTTTTTTCCAGCATGAGTTCACTTTGTTCCAAATCATTGAAAAAATTTCCAACTGGGTCATTAGTTAAGTTCTTATGGTCCATTTTTTAAAATTGCTTGAAGTACTGGAGGCAATTGTTCCTCTGGAATGTTTTCCAGGAGTTTCCTTTGAAGTCATCCATGATTCTGTGGAAAATACACCCTCTCCCAAGGTAGGTTTTAGGTCAATGCCATCGCCTGATCCTCTGACGTCTCTCTGCTCCAAGAAATCTTTATTGTTCTTATTGTAACTAGCAACTATTGAACCAAACAACATTATCAAAAACATCAGCAAACAGGAACAAATGGTAAAAATTGAGAGAGCACACTTCACCCCGGGAAGCTTAGAGTTTCCTTGAAACAGCCGCTTCAGACCGGTGACTATGTCACGCGGACCCCACCGGGGCTGTCGTGGCATCAGTGGTCCAGGAAAAAGAGGCAGAGCTGAAGCCCAAGGTCAGGGGGCTTTCACACAGCCCCTAGAGCCTGGCACTTGGAACTCAGACTTCGTGCCTCCCAAAATAAGAAAATAAACTCCTGTTTGTTCATGCCATCCCATTTGTGGTATGTTCCTCTTAGAGCGGCACTAGGTAACCAGAACAGCAACCCTGTGTACAACAGAACAAAACGTTGCTTGGTCCTGTGCCATCTTCACAGTTGTTGCTATGCTTGAACCCATTGTCACAGCAACTGTACCAGTCCTTCTTGTTAAAGGTTTTCCCCTTTTTCATTGACCCTCTACTTTACCTAGCATGATATCCTTCTCCAGGGACTGGTTCCTTCTGAGAACATGACCAAAGTATGAGAGATGAAGTCTGGTCATTCTTGCTTCTAAGGGTATTCTGGCTGTACTTCCTCAAAGACATATTTGTTCATTCTTTTAGCAGTCCATGGTACATTCACTATTCTTTGCTAACAGCACAGTTCAAATGCATCAATTCTTTTGCAGTCTTTCTTACTTATTGTCCAGCTTTCACATGCATATGAGGTAATTAAAAAAACCATGGCTTGAGTCAGGTGCCCTTTAGTGTCCCCCAAGTGACATCTTTGCTTTTTACTACTTTAAAGAGGACTTTTACAGCAGATTTGCCCAATGTAATGTGTCATTTGATTTCTTGACTGCTGCTTCTATGGCCATTGATTATGGATCCAAGTAAAATGAAATCTTTGATAAAGTCAGTCTTTTCTCCATTTATCATGATGTTGCTTATTGGTCTACTTGTGGGGATTTTTGTTTTCTGTATGTTGAGGTATAATCCGTACTGAAGACTGTACTTTTGATCCTTATCAGTAAGTGTTTCAAGTCCTCTTCTCTTTCAGCAAGTAAGGTTGTGTCATCTGCCTATCACATGCTGTTAATGAATCTTCCTGGAATCCTGATGCTGTGTTCTTCATATAGTCCATCTTCTTGGATTATTTGCTCAGAATACAGATTGAATAAATATGGCAAAAGGATACAACCATGATACGCAACTTTCCTAATTTTAAACCATGCATTATCCTCAAGTTCTATTTGAATGACTGCTTTTTGGTCTATGTATATGTTCCTCATGAGCATAAGTAAGTGTTCTGGAGTTCCCATTCTTCACAATGTTATCCATAATCTGTTATGATTCACACAGTTGAATGCCTTTGCATAGTCAGTAAAACATATTATGTTTAGGAAAGGAGAGACCCTTCTGAAACTGCTTATTGGTTCAATTCTATTTTTATGAAATTCTTGAACATCACTGTCATTGAAATAATACAGGAGATGTGTGAATATACATGGTTAGGGCAGGTTTTGGAAAAAATCTGATTAATAAATGGGACAGTTGACTTTAAGTACCTACTCTAAAATTAGAATGCTTTCTTGAATTTTACAGGCAATGGAGTTTGAAGGCTGGGCTGACACCCTTTTTCTTCTGCAGTTCACTCTCTCCTGTGTGATGGGGTAAGCCTTTATTGCCTTGTTAGCAGATAGTTTTCTTAGAAAAATTGTGCAGTGAATTACTTAATATGGCCCTTCTTTGCAATTCCCACCAAATGACTGGGTGGGACTATGCAGATAAGATACTTGTGGCCCACCAAGGGGTTTGGACAGCTTGCCAATAATGCAAGTAAGGTACATGGAACCCCTGTGGGGGTCGGACCATGCAAATTAGGTGTATGGAACTCGAAGGAGGGAATTGGTCAGTTTTCCATCCTGCTAGGCTTAAAAGAGAGCCAATCTCAGAGCACAGAGGGGACCTGACTATCACTGAGAAAAAGAGCTGGGTGTGACACACATCTTTTTGACCTGGGATCTCTGTGCTGAGACTGTCCTAGACCCAGGAGACACAGGGGGGCTGTAACACAGAAGACAGTGAGAGACAGCAGCACGTAAATAGCAGAAGTGATAGTGGCATGAGGTGGCAAGCACCCAGAGACTGTCGCGAGACAGCTGCAGTAGGGCTTGCCGACCCATGGAGCTGAGAGTTGTTAACACTTGCCTGAGAAGGCCCCCAACAGAACCTGGTGGTAGATGGCCCCCAGAAGGGCCTGACAGTAGCAAAAGCCCAGCAGAGTCTTGGAGCAGAAGGCAAGAAGAAGCTGTCCTGATTGAGGAATTGCATCCTGATTATTCCAGATACTTAAAAGTTGATCCCCATCCTTAGTTGCACTCTTACTTCCCTAATAAACCACTTAGTTATAAGTATGATTTGTGAGTTCTGTGAGACATTGAAGCAAATTACTGAACCCAAAGATGAGAGGGAGTGTACTGAGGGGAGAGCAATAGATGTTAGAAATAATGGAGTAGGGTAGCAGTTTGAAAAAATTGGATGTTTGTGACATCTTTAACCTCGCGCTTACAGGAACCAGCTTTGTGCTGATACTTATGACAGAGATAATTCATTTAGTTGGCATTAGAATGATGGGATTTACTGTTACTGCCTAGACTCGCTGGAATATGTGGTTTTGGACAAAAGGGGATAAATGGGAGAATGAGAAACCTTTGATTTCTGTTTGGAAAAAATGGGATAAAAAACATCCATGGATTGAACCAGCTGTTATGTTTCAGTCAAATTTCCAAGACAAAAGCTGTTCATGGGAGGTAAGCATAGTGGATCTAATTGATGAGGAAATAGCTAGTTGAATGTATAAGGAAATATAGAGTGACGATGAAAGGGCAAGATATAAAACTCCTTAGTTGCTATTATCAGTAACAGCTGCAACGGTAGGGAAAAAGAACATAGGGGCAGATTGTAGCACTGAATAAATCTGGTTGAAGGTACGACTGCTAGTCTCAGGGTTGACCTGGAGAGGAAAAATAATGTTGAAACAATAGGAAATACCCCTATGACGTCTAATCACCAAGAAGGTAGTGTGGGAGGGAAATGGATAAAACCAAGGAACTGTTGAAATCAGAGAGGGTAGTGGAAATCAATATCATCACCTTCTTGAGGAACTGCTACTTTAAAAATCCATTTAAACCCATGTGAAAAATGGATTGTGAGAGCAACTAACATAGGGGCAATGTCTTTAGTTTTGAATGCTATAGAGTACAAGACTATGTTTGAGTTGATGCAAGACCCACAACTCACTATAGAACAGTCACAGATGGTACAAGATCCAGTATACAGCAGATTAACTTGGAGGACATAGCCTGACTGTTGAACTGGATAAAATTTGCAGTGATAGTTGTTTATCCTGAAAAGGAATACTGCTCCTCTCACCCTCTAAATACCCAGTAGAACATTCCAGAGGAAGCAGCTGATGGGCTGCGTATGCAAGTCGTGCTGGAATGACTCTAGAGTGATCAGGATATTCACCTAATTAGTATGTTCCCCTTACACAGGTCATTGTAGATATGGTAATCAATGGAGCTCCTACCCCATGTGTAAACTTATTACTGAAAATTACAAAGCATCAATCCTAGAAGCCTTGTCAGATGTGTTGGCATGGCTTCCTTGCATAGGTCTTACAGATGCAAAAAACGTAAGAGGATTCATAGAATGAGAAGAGGCTATGAAGAAAGAACTTAGCCCAGCAGGATAGAGATTTTAAATGGTTACTAAGAAATGAGGTGAATATAAAACACTGATGAAGTTGAGACAAAGATCCTAATGCAGCAGTATAGGAGGTTGGGTGAACCAGTGGAAACTCTTGCTGGTCCTGCAGCATAAAAGAGGCCTAGACAAGTACATTCTATTCACCCGAGCTGAGAGGAATTTAATGAGGGGAAGTCCTGTTTTGGACCATTTGGAGCAAAGGCACAGCTAGTCAATCAAGATAAGGATTGACAAGGGGCCAGTGAATTCTAGTCCAGTCCCCAGCAGGGGACCCAAGGCTATATGCATATGTGTGGATGAAATGGCCTGGGGGTAGGGAAGATACCTTCTTGGGGCTCCTGAACACAGAAGTCTGATGTACTGTAATCAGAAAACATGTCAAAGAAATCTTTAAGGGGCCTCAAGTTAGACTGAGAAGATACAGGGAATCAGTGGTTAATGGGACTAAGGTGAAAGTTTAGATGAAGATGGGAAGATTTAAACATATCTTGTATGAAGTAGTTGCAACTTCATTGCCTGAACATATTAATGGTATGGATATTATGTCTAATTGGGGAACACTCCTTTTACCTAATGTCGTAAAACTGAAGGCAGAATTGATTGGACATACTAAATGGAAACCATTAAAATTGCCTGAACCCACTCAGTTTCTTAATTTAAAACAGTATAGGATACATGATGGACAAAGGAAATTATTGTTTTGATTAAAGACATGCTAAAGGCTGGAGTGTTGACGCCAATAGAGTCTCTGTATAATAGCCCCTGTATAATGGCCCATGAAAAAGGCGGATTGCTCATGGAGGCTGATAGTAGACTATGGATACCTAGATGAAATTGAGCTTCCTGTGGCTTCAACTGTTCTAGATGTCTTATCACTGGTACATGTACAATAAAGCAGGCTGAGGAGACTAGTACTTAGTGATCGATCTTGGAAATGCCTTTTTCTTGATCCCAATATAAAAAATGAGCCAGCCACTGTTTACTTTCACATGGGAAGAATCCCAATTAACCTTCATTTTATTGCCACAGGGTTACTTGAATTTACTGGCTTACTGTCATAGTTTGTTTAGAAGAGACTTGGATTTGGTGTAGCTCTCAAGTGTAATGATATATTACATTGATGATATCATATTAATATCAAACATTGAAGAACAGATTAGAGCTGATTTGAAAACAGTAGTGGCTCACATGACACACAGAGGCTGGTTAATAAATCTAGCAAAAACACAAGGCCATGCCCAAATGGTGAAATTCTTGGGGATACCTTGGGCAGGAGCCACAGTGACATCCTACAGGCAACCAAGGAAAGGTTTCTGTCACTCCCTACCCCAAGACTAAGTAGGAGACACAGAGTTTGGTTGGTCTTGTTGGATTTTGGAGACTGCATATTTCACATCTGATAATCGTGCTGGCTCCCATCCATAAAACCAGTTGGAAGAAATCTGCATTCAGATGAGGGACAGAACAGCAGCAGGCTATGTCTGAGTTATAGAAAGCAGTCTTACTCTCCCTGCTGTTAGCCCATTATGATCCACATTGAGACATCATTTTGGAGGTGTCTGCCATGTGTGCTTATGCGGACTGGAGCTTACAGCAAAAACTTGAGAAGGCTGCCCTTTGGGAACTGCTGGGATCTGGACTAGAAAGTTTCCAGGTATTGTAGCACAGTACATACCATTTGAAAAGCAATTACTCACCTCTTGTTCATCACTGGTAGAAATTTCCTCACTGACAAAAGGATATAAAATCATCATGAAACCTAAAATACCCATATAATGTCTTGGGTGATGTTCTGGTTAGCTAGTGCTGCTCTGAGAAGAATATACTACAAATGGGATGGCCTTAACAAACAGGAGTTTATTCTTACAATTTGAAGGCTTTAAGTCCAAGTTCAAAGTGCCAGGCTCTAGGGGCTGGGTGAAAGCCCTTCAACCTTGGGGTCCAGCTCTGCCTCCTGCTCCTGGCCCACTGGAGCTAGAGGCTTTTCTTCACTCAGATAGCTGCTGGCTGCTGAGGCTGAGAAGCCCCAAGGTTGACAAGAAAAAAAGGCACAGTTCCGATGTTACCAAACCACATGGCAGGTCATTAACTTAAGTCCATTTTAAGTCCCACGGTCAGCAGAGCATAGCTGACTGCTGAGCGATGACACAGCTGCATGCAGGGTCCAAGCGTGCCATAGGCTAGAGACCATTCTCAAAGCTTCTCCTTATATCTAGGAAGCAGACCACATCCCAAAGGCAGCTACTCAGCTGCTTGTGGTAGATCTCACCATGGAGTTGAGTGCCAATCTCATTATGGAGAATAACTACCAGCAGCTACCCAGCCACTCAGCCAGGCCCAGCCAGGTTGACACACAAACATAACTACCACAAGTTATGTCAGAGAAACACTGTAATAAGGAAGGCAGTACCCTAAATAGTTCTTTAATAAAATGGAAATGGCTAATATAAGAACAAGCTCCTGGGGGAATGCAGGGAGGCACCCACCATATCCATGAGCAGGTGGCCTCTTTTCCCATAGATCCTCCCTGAAATCATTTAAGAAGCTGACACAGCCCATTGCTACATGAACAGTGCCCTATGAACAACTTCTCCTGACTAGCAGCAGATTGCTTCGTTCACAGATGGCAGTTTTAGGGTACATGGACCATATTTGATGTGGAAAGCTGCTGCATTGAGACCAGCAGATGGAAAGACCCTGATTGAAAAAGGTAACAACAGGTCAGCTCAGTTACTGAGGGATGAATTGCATGGTGTCTTCATAGTCATGATGGAGGAATTGGGCGATGGTGAGAATCCATATATTTGGATTTTTACCAATTCGTGAACAGTGATTATATGGTGCCTATATGATCAGGTAGATGGTCAATGGAAAATTGGACTATTAAGGGGACACCCATGTG